CTCCTTTAAGCCTTGACAGGCCTGTTTACATTCAGAGGTCATCCCATCCCAAACAATATTGTGGAGTAGGATGTCTCTTGTAGGGTCAGAAATTTTTCTATCTGTGCTAGTTTTGGACCTGAGTGTAAAGTCAGCAAGGGATTCTTCGGGTTTTTGCTGGAGGAACATGAAGGATGATTCAGAGGTAGGGCCAGAAGGAGGGGTAATACGCTCCCAGGCCTGCAAGGCGCAAAGGTGCACCTGATCATAATTACCCAGGTGGGAATCCCACCTGCTGGGCTCCTGTGGCCCAGTTGCCCTGACCAAAGAGGGCATCAAAGTTCCAAATGATAACAGCTTGCTCAGCATTTCTGCAGTGTTGTGGATATACTCATCATGGAAAAGGGCCTCCCATTTTAAGAAGAGGGGGCCAGGCAGAGACGCCCTGTTGATGTCTCACCAAACTTGAGCCATATTTAAGGTGGCATTGAAGCCAAGGAGGATATTTTTTGTCCAGGGGGCATATACGCTATCCTAGTGTACAGCTTGTCAGAGTTCCTTAGGGTCTCCTGCTGAGTATGGGTACCATTGTAGGGGCCTGCGAAAGGTGGGGACCAGGTTAACCGATAGGGCCTGATATTCTAGGTTTTGGGTGTCCCTGATATTACAGAGCTGTTGGGTAGCTGAAGGGGCAGGTTTTGGTGGGGCTGTGGGAGTAGGCTGGGGTTTCTCCCTAGGGGGAGTTTTGGGGTCTTTGTCCCCAGCTTCCTTGTGTGGGTAGGGAGGCAAAGGCAGAGGTGGGGTAGAGGTGTGAGGGTTCCATTTTAAAGTTAGCTAACTCTTCTGATACTTTCTATGGTCTGTTTCAGGGATGCCAGGTTGGCCATGGGGCAATGTTCTGGGCATTCCTCATCTGAGTCCTTGGGAGGGTTGGGACAAGGGGGAGCCTTCTCTGATATTGTGGGGGGGGGCTATGCATTGTCTGATGGCCACAATGATGGGGAGGAATTGGGGGCAGGAGCCATCTTCGATCTCCCCTGTCTGGCCAGGTAGGCTACTCTGGTCCAGGCTTCTGAGTCATAGGGGTCCCTGGAGGCCATCCAAGGGGCAAGTTTAAGGGGTGAGTTAAACTCTGAGAGAGTTTAACTCCTCTACATTTAAGAAGAGCCTGGGAGCCCCTGATTTGGGGATCCCTCAAGTTTCCAGGGGTGTTGCCCATGATAGAAAAGGAAAGGAGGGTGAAATGCTGAGTCCTAGTGGAATGTTCCCGGGACCCAGAGGTTATGGGAGATTTCCTAACTAGTCCAGAGCTCAAGCCTGACCACAAATTTCAGAGAACCAGCGACTCCTCTAAAAGCTTTTAACTGGTCATTGTGTTACCGGATTTTGTAGTAGAGAGACATATAGATAGGAGGTCTTTACCGACCCCCCGGGCGGGCATTCGGGGGTCTGTTTAGAGGACTAGGAGCCTTCAGCTAACATCAGGGAGTGGCCCTGATCAGAAAGCCTCAGTTGCTCTTTCATCTTGAACAGTCTCTCGTGAAGGTGCAAACCAAAAGTAAAAAGGAAGAAAGAAGAGAATGCCGATCCTCAGAGAGTGGGATGGCCAAGGCTTAGCAGCTGATGTCTCTCTGTTGGGGAGTACTCACCCTTCTCCTGCGCATCCTGGAGAGCCTGTCTTGAGCCCCACGTTCGGCACCAGCTGTCAGCACCCCCCAAACCCCACTGCTACTGGGAGGCCGTTGTGCACCAGCCCCTGTCATGGGAAGTTGGGGCGAGGAGAGACAGGTGGGGTTGGGTGGCAGCGAGTATGACGGAAGAAAACACCTGGGAGGCTGTGTCAGTGGACATCTCGTTTATTATGGCTGAAGCAGATGTTTATATAGGAAAGTTTTGCAGGCAAAGAGGCAGGGTTGGATTTTCTGGTAGGCCAGCAGGTAGGGGGAAGGAGGGGGCTACTAAGGCTACGTGGCCTTTGTTCTGTCCTCTGGTCACATAATCTACAAGGGACCCGGTTAGGATTAAAGGATTATAAGCTTAATAGTTTTGCTTGGGGGTTGTTGGGTAAGAGACAGTGTATCTAGAATGGAGCAGGCCAGCTTCCTGCTGTCCTCACTAGGAGGTATCTGGCCTGGTGGCCATGCTCTACATTCCAAGCACTGTTGACTTATCCCAACATAGGACCAGTTAGGATGAGTAGTTGATTTGAGTATATTGTTCACACATACCATAAAACCACAGCCATGAGCCCACTCCTGTTCCTAGGCAGAAACTATGTGGTTGATTCTTTTTTTTAAAATATATTTTATTTATTATTTTTGTTTTATGGGTATGAGTGTATTATCTGCATGTATGTGAGTGCACCCATGTTGAGCAATGCCACGGAGGTCAGAAGAGGGCTTCAGATTCCCCTGGAACTGGAGTTAAGGACAGTTTGTAGCCGCCATGTGGGTGCTGGGAATCAAATCCAGGTCCCCTGCAAGAGCAGTCAGTGCTCTTAACTGCTGAGCCATCTCTTCAGCCCTACTATGTGGTTGATTCTTACTGAAGGGTTCCTAAGACTCATTATTTGTCCTCTGTTGTTGGTAGCTGACAAAAGTCATAGCATCAAAGGTCTAAGGTAAGTTGAGAGACAAAAATTTTAAATCGAGAAGAGTCTACCCACTGGCTTAAATTTGCCATTTGAATGGGGGAGACCTTACTGCACTTGATGTCTGGTGGAAGACCCCCTTGCTCTGGCTGTGGGAACCTGAGTCCTACAGAATTGATGTTCAAGAACCACTGTGTCTCAGGCCAGATAGGTGACTGTCAGCTACCCATAGTGCTGCAGGGAGAGGTAGTAGTTGATCCTGTTCCCCTATGAGTCACTGTTAAATAGACTTAACCTGGAAGTGATTATATAAGCAGTACTTAGAAAATATAGTTGATTTATTTCATCAGATTAAACTTTAAAAATTCAGATTTTGTCAGTTTTCCACATTAGAAGGTGACGAGTTGACATTAAACAATCTCTGGGTCACTTCTTCTCTGTCTCTGTGCTTGTAGCTGTCACTGTAGCCTGATGACATGGTTCTTTTGAATATGTGCCTGTCACTCAGAATATCAATCTGAGTCTGAGTAGAATTTTAAGACTGGGTGAGTCTAGAGTTTGTTCTTCTATTGTCTAAGGTAGAGACAAAGAAGAAACGGGGATGAACAGGAGCTCTCTATCAGAGTCAGGAAGAGAGAGGGAGGGAGAGGGGAGAGGGGAGGAGAGAGAAAGGAGAAAACATTGAATCCAGAGGGGAGAGAGGAGAGAGAGAGAGAGAGAGAGAGAGAGAGAGAGAGAGAAGAGAGAGAAGAAAACATTGAATCCAGTCTGTGGACATATAGACATTGGGGTGTATATATGTTTGTGTCTGTGAGTTGAAATCTAAGCTTCTTGCCTGGCAAAGTTAGGTGGAATGAGCCATCTAGATTTAGCATTGAGAATAGCATATATACATGCATGTGTGCAAACACAAACACACACACATACACACACACACAGCCTTCTGTTGGTTAAGGGTCTCCCACTTTCTATCTCTTGGTTTGTAAATGAGCTGGATTTCTCTAAGTTGGGTTTTGTAAATAGGATTCCTGTAGCCTTTTACCATTTAGGCTGAAATCCCTGAGTTTGAACTGAACTGGATTTGTTTTAAAGCATTGGTTTTCCTCAGCAACTCCCAGGGCCCAGGAAAGTTTATTCCTCATTCTAAGGCCCTTCAAATAGCCTTAGTGATTCAAGGACTGTGTAGCTGGTCCCTTTTGCATGCCCCTACCCCACATACACACATTCCAGTGGTACTTTTGGACCTTACACAAGTAACCCACTGCCATACTGAGGCTTGCAAACCAGATATTCCCAAGCCCTCACTTTGTTGGATTAGTAAGGCCCCTAGGTAGTAAGTCACTGAATAAGACCTTCTGGATCTTTCTTGGGTAAGTCAGTGGTTCTCAATTGAGACTAATTTTGCCTCTGAGAGCATATTTAACAATGCCTGGAGAAATTTTGGGCTGGCAGAGCTGAAGGGTGAGGCATGAGGGCTCTACTGTTATCCGACAAGTAGATGCTAGGTGCTAAACATTCCTAATACACAGCACAATCCACAGCAAAGTTGTGTAACACAAAATGTCAGTAGTAGCAATGATACCCCAAATTCACAGCAGTTCCTAGTTTGTACTGATGACAGGACTAGCCCAGGTCCTGGAGCTAGTGTCCAGGATCCTGACTCTAGTCCTTCCTGTTCTAACAAGCACCTGATTTTGCCATGTGAGACAAATTACTGCATAGTCTTACCTAAGTTCAGGTCCTTCAAATTAAATTTTTCATTGGGAATGATTTCTTTCCCAGATGAGATGTATTCTTGGAGGGGACAAAAACAAAAACCCTTAACCTTTCATAGGTATTCAGAGAGAGAGAGAAAGAGAGAGAGAGACTCAGAGAGACAGACAGAGAGAGTGTAAAATGTGGCTATAATATTAAAATACCATGAAAGGCACTTAGAACAATAATGTCTAAAAGGTCCTGGGTATGTGTGTGGTAGTAATGAAAAAACTATTGAGATGTATTCACCTAAAGTAACCTTTTCTGAGGAGTCCAGACACCCCTGAGTCTCTGTTCTTCTATTTGGAGTTAAGTAAGGTCTGGTTTTATCCTTCCCCACACACCCTTTTAACACTGGCCTTGGCTTGGCAGATGGGTACGGATTTTATTCCCAGTGGGAACAAGTCCCTCATACCTTCCTTTTCTTTCTCTCTAGCGTAGAGGGGCTGAGTAGGCTGTTTCTGGTGGAGTGAAGGCCTGTTTGTCTGGGAGGATAAGGCAGTTTTATAGGCAGGTGGACAGTGGCTACAAATGGGAACCTGATTGTTCTGTGCCAAGGAGGGGGTCATCAGGTTTCTCTCGACACTTGTCTGGGTATCAGATGACTGAGCCTCATGCATATATTAGCTAGCTAGATCTCTTTCTTGACTAGCTTTTCTTTTCTACTTTCTTATAGGGAAACAATGGCCTCAAACCCAAGGACAATGAGTTCACATCCAAACCCTGGCACTGGCCTATCAACTATCAGGTAGGGCCCAAGGCTAGAGCTCCTCCAGGAAACAGAACCAAGAAAGAGCCCATTGAGGCTGTATGGGGCTGGAGTATGCTGGGTAGCAAGGAGAGGCCTCACCTAGGCATGCTGGCCAGGAAAGGGACTCTGTTTACTGCCTGATTCTGATTCCCCCTTCCAAGAGACCACATGTAAAATGTTCACATTCTGAGCCTCTGTCCAGGCTGCTTGCCTGTGAAAGGTGTCTCATCTTCCTATCCCTTGAATGGGGGTGGCTGAGGATGAGCTGAGCCTTGGATCAGAAGGGTATCCTCTGCTCCACAGGGCCTGCGCTTCTCAGGGGCCAATGACACAGACTTCCGAGTCTATCTGCTCGGCAACCCAGTGAGTATCCCAAGTTGTGAATGCTCAGGCCTGAGAATCTGCCTATGGAAGCTGTGGCCATCCTCTCATCCCCACCTCTCCTTCTTGTACAGGTGGTCTGGTGGCTAAATCTGGTGAGCATCGCCCTCTACCTCCTCTTAGGGAGCACCCTTGCTATCGTCATGCAGAGAGGGGTACAGCTACCTGCAGAGCTGGAAGGTCAGACCCCTGAGCTGTCCCTGCCCTGTTCTTGCAGCTGGCTTGTGCTGGGAGGGTCTACCTGCTCCCTTTGTCACCTCCATCCCGTACATTCCCATTCCTTTGCTTTGAAAGCCCACAGTCACCCTGTACCTTATAGCAGGTTCAACACTTTGCCTCTTCCCAACAGCCCTGTAGGTAGTGTCGTCACCTCCTTTGTGTACATTAGGAAACCAAGGAAACTGAGACAGGAGCTTGCCACGTAGCCAGTAGTGATGGAACCAAGGCACAAACCCCAGCAGTCTTGACTTCAGAAACTTCTCTTTCATCTTATAGCTAGAATGGCCCCTCTTCTCATCTGCCCCCTTTATTCCATGGCTCTGTCCTCTAGTGGGGAAGAAAGGTACCTCCTCCAGGCCTTGGCAGTGGGTTCTTCCTGGTTACTTTAGCTTCTAGGCATGGACAACAACATCTGAGACATCCCTGTAGACCCTTTCAGTCCCTGCAACTCCATGTTTGAACAGTCCTAGTCCGAGACACCTCTCCCCACCTATCCTTCTTTTTGATCTCACTGCTGGGAAGGTCTCTGGTAGCAAAGATGTGGATGGTAGAGACAGGGAAGACAGCTGTCTGTGTGTGCCTCCTGCCAGGCTGGGTACTGACCAGGGGCTCTGGAGACCTGGTGGCTCCTATCTTCTAGTTGCCATGGGTTTAGGGTGATCTACATGAGGAAAGGAAGGCCCAGTGAGATGGTGTGACTTATTCAGAGTCACACAGAAAGACAGCAGCAGGGCTGGACTGGAGCCTAGGCTCTGCCTCTTGACTGGGCTATGCTGTTTGGGGCCAGGGCTAACACAGGTGCTGCTGCGAGGAGGTGGCCAGCTGCTGCTGGGCTGGATGCTCCATTACTTCCCATTCTTCCTAATGGGCCGGATCCTCTACTTCCATCACTACTTCCCCGCCATGCTCTTCTCCAGCATGTTGACAGGTCAGCACTGCTGCCCACCTGCCCTGGGGAAATAATGCAGTGGGAGGTGAGGTGGGAAAGAAGGTAGAGACCGCCCTGAGAACCTGGCTGAGACTAGACCTTGGCTAGGGTGGCTCCTTCCTGTGGAATCCACAGGGATTGTCCTGATAGACTGGTGCCAGGTCTTCTGTTCTCTATAGGCATCCTTTGGGATACCCTCCTGCGACTCTGTGCTTGGGGCTTGGCCTCCTCTCCCTTGGCCAGCAGTATACACTCCGTGGGAATCCTGAGCCTGCTCCTGGGAACTGCCTACAGGTGCACATCTGCCTTACATGGCCCTCCAGCTTGGGCTCTGGGTACATTTTAAGAGTCCCTATAATGCCTTTAAGGACTTGCAGGGCTGGACTCCATTCGCAAAGGTTGAGTCAGTTGGGCCCAGGACAGCCTTGCCAATCACAATTATTAAAGGCTCGAGGTGACCCTAATGTGCAGTCAGGCAGGAGCAGGGACTCATCATCATCTCTCCTTTGACAGTGGTTCCCAGCTTTGACACGATCCCAGCATACCTGGAAGGGTACCCTTTTCTTGTCACAGTGATTCCCTGTTGGAACAACTCTCAATGGGTTGAGGGAGAAGATGGGGATATGGGAGTGTGGCTCAGAATTGCTGTCAGGAGACAGTTGTTTGGAAGCTGCCTTTTCCTCCACATCTGGCAAGTCTCACAGATCCCCTGTAAGAGTTCCCTGGCCATTGTGGTGCCTGTGACCCATAAGCACTTGCCTGCTGAAATGGGTTAAATTTACTTGTTAGCAAACACTCTGGGCCACACATGCCATGGCCAGAGCCCTAGATGGGTCCCTGTCCTAGGCCTATTGGGGCAAGCCCTTTTCTTCTTTGTCATTCAGTCAGTGTTGTTGAAGTCAAGTAGGTCCACATGGGGGACTTGAATGGATGGATGGACAGACAGATTGGGCCATGTTAGTGGAGCCTGAGCGATGAGCCCCTGCAGTGGGAGCTGCAAGCGGCCCCGGGATGCTGACCGCCTCTCTCTTACTTTCACAGTTTCTACCTCTTTCACCCTCTGGCTTATGGGATGGTTGGTCCCCTAGCCCAGGAACCAGAGAGTCCAATGTCAGGACTAAGGTGGCTGGAATCATGGGACTTTTGAGGCCATTGCCAAGATCCCAGCCTGGATCCAGAAGTTGTCCAGGGACATTCAGCTATGGAGCCAGACCCTGGACCCTTCCAGCTCTAGGGGAGCTGCCTGAGGAGCCCAAAACATTCTCCTGCCTCCAAGACCAAACTCTAGAAGCAAACCTGGATTTAACTCAACACTAAAGAACCACAGTCCTGTCTGAGGCACTTCCAGAGGACACTACCTACAGCACCACTCGGGGCCAGTTCCCTGAGGGTGCAACACAAGGAAAGCAGGTGTGAGTGTAGGAGGGTACATTTGTCTGATCCCCTGTAGAATGTAGACTGTGTAGCTGTGGACAGCTAAGTGTCATAAACTCTTCAGAAATGGTCCAAGGTTACAGTAATATTCTCTGGTATCTTTTCACATTGGTTTTGGCTTAGTTGGGGTTTATAAGTTTGTAAGAAATTCTCTGAACTAATTCTAAGTGCACACACCTTTAATTCCAGCACTTAGGAGGCAGAGGTGGGTGAATCTCTGTGAGATCAAGGCCAGCCTGGTCTACATAACGAGTTCCAGATCAACTGGGACTATAGGGAGACACTCTCTCAAAACAAAACAAAACAAACAACAACAAACCAAAAGAAAAAAAAAAATGTCCAATCTCCTGGAGGGCTGAGAGTGTTGACCTTCCCCTGGGGTATTATAAAGGCATGGCAGGTGGAACTATCAAAGCTATATGACCTTCCTTCCCACACATGCTTCCACTAAGGCAAGCAAGCACCCAAGCTGGAGGGATGGCTCTCTGCTGCTGCCCCTTGTGTCTTCTATGGACACAGGTAGCTGCACTTCCTGCCTGTGACATACACAGGGTACTGGGCTCCAGGGAGCAGGGTGGCAGAGAATACCCTATCCTGTGGTTGACTTTCCTTGAAATGTTGGTTCCTTGTTCTCTGAATTGGGTAGGAGGAATCTGCAATCTAGCTACTGTGTGCCAAGAGCCTGTTCTCACTGTCCATCCCTTTTCCTCTGCATCTAGCTGGCCATGAGCACCAAGCCCTGAATTCTCTTCTGCCTGGGAGAGGCTTTGGGAACCCTTCCTGACAGCAGAGTCAGAGCAGGTACTCTGTGAGGCTAAGCATCTAATGGGATGCTGGAATAAGGGACACTTACTTAACCTGTCTGGGCGGATGCCCCTGTCTACTGCTAGACATTCCTATTTTTCATTTCTGCAGCCCTCCCTGAAGACACCCCCTTTTGCGTCATTGCTATTTCCCTTCCTTTTTGTTACTGCCTCGTCAGTCTTTCCCTCCAAAGACCCAGAACACTTAGAAACACATGACAGCTTCTAATGTCTACCACTTTCAGCTCAGAGCTGCTTTTTCCACTTGGTCCCCCAAAGGAATTAAGAAAACTTTTGGATCAGAACCAAACCAACTCAAGACCTGCCTTCTTCTCAGTTTAGGACAAAATGCAAAATGTTTATTTGATCCCAGAAGACCGATACTTTGAGGTTTAATGATGAATTTGCCACACTCCATCTTCCCTTCAGTGTAGCTCCCAACATCTTCTGACAGGGTCAGAGCTCTTTAAAGCATCTTCAGGAGGCTGTTTCCACGGAGACTGGAAATTGGTCTCAGGGACAGGCTGTGCTACCTACAGAGTTGGTGGAGAGGGAAGCTTCTGGGCCCTGCTTAGACGTTCAGATGGAGCATCATTAGTGTTAATAGAGGAAATTCAGCCCTGTCCAGAGCAAGGCAGGGTGGTTAATTAGATCTGAGACCCACTGACTGCCCACTCCCATGGCCGCATCATTTTTGACTTCCCCGCCCCCAGCAGGAAGTACGGTTTGTATGGAGTCTGAGCTGCCTGCTTAATTGTATTTCTAGTGGGGATGAAGGAGCTCTGCCCCTATTTTTCCTCCCTTCCACCTGCAGGCTCAGGCCAGGCTGCTTTCTTATGAACCCAGTGGGAGTACCATTTGGGTAGAGTGTCCAGAGGGTGGATGTAAAAATCTGTGCTTGACTCTTAGCAAGGTAGTCCATGAGACATGTAACAGGTGGTGATTTCCCCTCATGCCTTCTTATTTCTCAAGGCACTTGTTAGAAGGAAGGAACTCTGAAGCAGCCAGGGGGCAACCTTGGAGAGAGCCAGGGTAAGGAGAGAGCTTGGCAGCTCATTACATGCTCCTCCCCCCTAGTTTGATCACAATGAGGAAGAAAGTTTCCTGGATCTCTTCTGGTTTCCAAGGATGGAAAGATGGGACCCCCCTGCCCACTCCTTCCTCCATACCCAAGCTGGCAGATACTTCTTTGGAGACAAGACCACTTATATGACAGAGCACTAAGTGCTCAGGTTTTGTTTGGAAGATGGAGGGGACAGAAGGCACCAGGTACTGCTCTGTATTGGGCTGCAGCCCTCAGTGCTAGGCAGAAATCTCACAAGTTGCTGGTGGAGGAATAAGAGGTCCCAGGTAGCCTAACCTCCAGCCAGTGTCTTGACCCACCACATTTTATTTTTTAAAAAAGTTTCCAGAGATAATCAGAAGCCATTACTTATGTAATAAATAGCTCTTGTTTTCAATGCCATGTTGTTCTTGTGCTCAATTGGATCTGAGTTGCCCTCTGGCTCCCAGAAAAAAACTCCTCAAGAAGAGAAGAGTGTTTGGAAAGCAAGTCCAACATGGTGTCTCGGCTGAGGCCATTTTCATTCCAGCTGAGGCTCTGGCCAGGCAGGTGAGCCTGATGCCAGGGGAATGTGGGCTTTACAGTGCTCTCACGTACTTAGGTAAAAATGGCTATCTCCGTTCCTTATTCTAAAATAAGTAGGCAGTAGGAAGCAGAACAATTTTTTGTTTTACTTACCCAGACAGTATAAAAAGGAGCAAGGAGACAGAGCATGGTGATACATGCCTTAATACCAGCACTCAGGAGGCAGAGGCAGGCAGATCTTTGAGCCCAGCCCGGTCTGCATAGGGAGATCCAGGCCAGCCAAGGATACATGTATAGTTAGATCATTTCATACCACCACCCCCACAAACAGAGAAAGAGCAAGGGAATCATTTTTTCTACTTCTGAGACAGCTCAGTGGTCCAGTGTGGCAGCAGCTTCCCACCCTGGGTGACAGCGTCCTCTGTGAGTGTGCCAACTGTGAAGGAGCTACAGAAGGATCTGACAGCTGACTTCAGTGTTGGGTTGAAGGTGGAGATGAAGGGAGTAGCGCCTCTGAAATTGGGAGTCTTCTGGGCTGCCCAGTAGCCACCTAAGGACTATGAGGAACAGGAGGCAAAGGGGAGGAAAATAAGTCATGCCCATGCTCTAGAGGTGGACAATAGCGAGGACAGGCAGGTCAGAGAGGGACCAAGGGCTCTTTGAACAGCACAGCTTAATTGACATGATCTTGACACATGAGACAGGTAATCCTCCCGAAGGCTCAGTGAAGTCTGTTTTTATCTCCATTCTGCTCAGGAGAGATTATATTACTTGCCTAAGATCCTGCAGCTAGAAAATCATGAAGCAGGACTCAATGCCAAATGGGCCTTTTTAGCTTCTCCAGCCTGGTCCTGGACTGGAAACACCTGCCTGGAGCACCCAGGCAGCCCTAGACCAGGTGTCCTGGTTTCGCCTGACCTTTGTACATTCTGTATGTTGCAGCCACAGCTCAGCGAGGACCTAGGCTTTCCTGGTTCCCCCAGGTGTGCCCAGACCAGTAGTGGTAGATATTTAATGACAGATTTCCTGTGGGGCAAAAACAAGCCCTACTTTATAGTATTTGCCAATTTCCATGGTATAAATACTTCCACCCCAGCCTGTTTCAAGCTACTAACTTGATGTTACTGAATGAGAAGTTGAGAAGAGATGATTGTCAGTTCATGTAAGCCATATGAGCTGGCCCTAGTATGCCTCTGACTCAGACCTTGCCTTGGTCTGAATTATGGACATTGCTGTTTGGAGGCATATGGAGAGAATGGGCCGGAAGATCAGAACTAAGGTCAAACTCTGGCCCCAGCATTTTGTCAACATTGTGTCTGCAGGCCAGGTAAACTCCTGGCCTCCCATTTCCTCAACAGCAGGATGAAAGTATAATAAAGAGCATCTCCTTCCCAGGGCTGCTGTGAGGATGCAATTAATGGGCACAGTGTCTGGATACATGCTCAATCTGCTAGCTCCTCACTGGCATTAATGACACATTGACAGCCCTGGCTTGAGAACAGTGCTCAAACTCACCTAGATTATAGCCTCCTGTATGTCCCTCGGGGAGGAGAGAACCTCTGTAGCCCCTCAGAACTGAATTCGGACTATCTGCTGGTTGGGATACCCCACCCTGACTGCTTAGGCCACACCAGATTCTCAGTCTTTCCCCAAGGGGAGCAGAGGTTAGAGTGCATCCAGCCCCCTCCTGTCACCTCTACCTCCCCCAAAGCAGAGAAGAGTCAGCAGAGGGGTTTAGTGTTGGCTCCTCCTCCTCTTAGTACCTAACTCCATGAACTCCTCACTTCAGATCCTGTCTAAAGGAAAAGAGGCAAACAGGGTCCAGAGTGAGGACTTTAGGAAGTGCAGGCTGAGTGGAATAAGGGCTCCAGATCATCCAGGTGTCTTACACAGGGCACTGTTCCTTTGTACTCCTGCTTGAGGATCTTGTGAACTTGACACATTTTGCCAAGCTGCCCTAAAGCTCTGCTTTCCAGCTCCAGTCCAGGGACCCAGAGATAAGCAGAGATGGTGAAGAGTGGAATAGGTTGTGCCCAAACTCTGCTCTTAGAAGACAACAGCTAGATGCTTTTGTGGGGCTTGGTTGGAGCAGGATGAAGGCCCTGCAAAAGAGGTTCTAGAAGGCAAGTACTAAGCACCCTACATCTAGCACAGGACTGGCTATGGGGACCACAGCCTGTTCGTAACTGATGACTCAAGGACACTGATTTATACGTATGAAACCAAAAGAATGTAGAGACCTTGCCACTCAAACCCTTACAGTGTATCTGAGGAAACAGGTAAGTGGGCAGACTGAGAGGAGAGGGCCGGAGACTCAAAAACAAGGAAAGATAAAGCGAGGGTGAAAATGGACTTGTCCTCCAGTGCCTGGGCCACTGGAACTGGGCTGAGGACAAAGAACTTTCATGATTGAAAGAGAACAGCAGAGTTCTAATGACAAGTGGCCAGCTGTACACCCTGAATAGTAAGTGCATATTTACCTGGACTACTTTTAAAAAATAGTATTAATACTTGTATTTTGTGTGTCTTTCTCAGTCATTCTTCCTTAATTTTTGAGGCAGGGTCTCTCATTGAACCTGGACTGAGTAGGCAAGCCAACTGACCAGAGAAGCCCAACAATCCTATCTCCACGTCTCCCATGCTGGTATTACAGGCACATGCCACTGCCCTGGCATTTTTATTTTTATTTTTTGCATGTTGGGGATTTTACATGTGTTGGGGATTGAACTCAGGTTCTCATGCACACATTACTGGGCTATTTCACTAACCCCCTTTGTTTTGGTTATGATTTTTAATAGATCATGAAATAGTACAATAAGTTTAACTCCATAGATGTGTAGGTAGTACAACAAACCCCTTGCCCTGTGACTTAGGGGAGTGGATTCCACATTGGTCAAACAGACCTGGGATTGGAAGCCCACCCACACTTGACTGGGAATGGCTGTGGTTTGGGTCTCTGTCACTAAGCTGAGAACCCTAGTAGCCCCAAACCTCTGCCAGACCTCCAGGCAGACCCAGAGCTTGAGCAGAGGCCTCCCCAGCCTGCCTGATCAGGTCGATCAGTCTGGAGACCTGGTTTCCATCGGCCAACCTCTAGGAAAGACAGTAGACACATCTGAACAGAGCCCAGGAGCCCAAGAGATGGAAAGCAAGAGCTTTCAGGCAGTGTTTCAGGGGGACTGAGGAGCGGTGACACTTTGAATCCAGGGCTCTCCATGCTCTTAATCAGAAAGAGTAAGTGGTGGTTTATTAGGGGGAGGGTAGTAAGACAGAATCTCACTCTAACCCTGGTCTTACCCTAGCTATCTTCCTGCTTCAGTCTCTGAAATTACAGACATGGTCACTATGTCAGGCCGGTTAAGTAGTCACATCACTAGTTTTGAAGTGCGAAACAAGTCTGGAGAGGCTCAGTGATTTCTGGTAGATTCTGAAGCCTGGACATTTCCCAGGCCTCAGGTTTTCTCTGGCCAAGGCTAGTGCGGAGGGTGTGCGCCTTCTCCGGCTGGAGGGGGTGGGGGCGCCGTAGCTTTAAAGGGCGGCTCTAGCTGCCGGCCGCAGCAGCTGGAACGGGGTCCCCTGAGGCGAGGAAGCGCCCTCGGGACTGGCACAGCTGGTCGCACATCCTGTAGGCTAAGGAAGGAACGGATCCTGGGCTCCGCCTGGCCAAGCCAACAGCCCGGAGGGGACGCGGAACAGCCTCCCTCCCCCTAGTCGCCGTGGAGATGGCGCTGCACGTGCAGTGACTGTGCGCAAGCCGGAGGGTCCCACCTCTGCGTCCCTGAAGAGCATGGAGCGCCCAGAGCCGGAGCTGATCCGGCAGAGCTGGCGCACCGTGAGCCGCAACCCGCTGGAGCATGGCACTGTCCTGTTCGCCAGGTGAGCGCTGCCAGGCCCTGGGGTGCGAGTGGAGGGGTGCCCATCAGCACCGATTCAAGACTACTAGATTGGCACCAAAGGAAGGAAAACCGGCCCACTGCGGTGGTGCGGGGGCGCCCTCCAGATGTGCGCCGGGGAGTGGGCGCGCGGCAACAGGCAGCGACTCCCACCTGAGCTGTTTAGGGGCGGGTGGAGTCTCCCATGCTCACCTCACTATACCGGCGGGTAGATGCCGGTCCTGCTCAGCGCCCCTTTCTCGGTCCCGGTCCCGAGCTGTCTCAGTTTCCCATAGATAATGACTACAGAGTCGCTTAGGAAGCTGGAGGGACTGGAAGGCAGGAGGGTGTGGGCGGGTGTGTAGGCACCTGGATAGTGGGACTGGCTCCCCGCGCCAACCTGTGGGTAGAAGACTACCAGGGTTATCCAGGCCCAGGAGAATGCACTCCTAGTCACCAGCAAGACGAAGGTTCCTTCCCAGGATAGGACTGGATTAGGACCAGAGAAGCTACGGGGCGGGGTTGACTAGAGTCCAGTCTCAGCATCCAGAAGAGACAGAAGACTGGTTTTCAGCCTCACCTTGGGCTCTCCATAACCCTTTTGCCATCACCAACAGGCTGTTACTCCTCTTTCATCATAGCTCCCTAGGCCAACCCAAAACTTCTGAACAGACTTTTGCAAAACCTCTCCCACATGGGAAATAAAGGTCAGCCATGGAGACACACACACACACACACACACACACACGCACACACGCACACAATGTAAGCTCCTCCCAGTGAGGTTGACAGCTTCTGGTTATGCCAGCTGGATTTTTTCAAGCTTATCTTCACCCTCTCTGGTACCACTGTAGTTTTACTATATGACTTTACTATATGACTGTGTGGCTGGAGGCAGGGTTCCGCTTCCTTCCCCATACTCACTGCTTAAAACCATGAGGGATGCACAGTTACCGTGATTTGCACATGCGAAATACTCCATGCTCAGTAAGTACAGGAGTGTACTCTTGATGTCATCACTGGTCTAAGCCTCCTCAGACATGAGGAAACTGGGAAGTTCTGTCCTAGAAGGGAGGCTTCCTTCAGTATTTCTCAGGTTTGGGGTTGAGATTTCTGCTTGTCCCAAACCCCATTCCTCAATTGTTTAGGGAGAGACTGTGGTCTGCCAGCTACTGTAAGAGGCTGGGGATCTCTGAAGGATGCCTGGGGAAGGGGTGAGGGGGCATTGGCCTCACTGGTATGGCCAAGTTGGGAGGTGTGTTGTGGCTTACTGCTGGCCAGCCAGGGTCTGCTGAGGTTGCTGCTCACTGCCCAACTGACCCCTGTTCCCAATCCACAGACTCTTTGCCCTGGAGCCTAGCCTGCTGCCTCTTTTCCAGTACAGTGGCCGCCAGTTCTCCAGCCCTGAGGACTGTCTCTCCTCCCCGGAATTCCTGGATCACATAAGGAAGGTGAGGGAGACAGAGCCACATGGTCTCAGACCCACAGAACATTGTCCTGGAGGAGGAGGGACTTGGTATAGGGAAAATAGTTTCTGCTCGAGGCCTACACACACACACACACACACACACACACACACACACACACACGAGAGGAGAGAGACAGAGACAGAGACAGAGGAGAGAGAAGAGAGAGACAGAAAGAGAGACTCATTCTGTTTTTACCCAGCCAGAACCAGCCTGGGACATTGTTTGGTGCAGTCCTGGCCTCTTGGGCCACCTGCCTAGGAAAACCAGGCTGGGCTCATAATCCACACAGACTTTAGTTTACCTTCGTCCCAGGCAGACAATATTGTTCTGCAGGCGTATTGAGGGTTTTTGTCAAAGAGGGGCTTCCTTTATGGGTGGAACATTAGTGGCTGGTGGAACCACCACATATTAAGCATCTACTATATGCAAACACAGGCTGTCTGCCACTCTGATTCTGAACAACAGAGTTCTGAGAGCTTCCCTGGGTTCTGGGTTAAATTCTAGGTGGTGTTAAGCAGATAGAATTGCTCTAGCCCCTCTGTGTCCTTGGCAGGTGATGCTGGTGATTGATGCTGCAGTGACCAACGTGGAGGACTTGTCCTCACTGGAGGAGTACCTAGCCAGTTTGGGCAAGAAGCATCGGGCAGTGGGCGTGAGGCTCAGCTCCTTCTCGGTGGGTAGTAGGATGCTTTCTCTCACCAGAGCTCCAGACCTGCAGCTGCCAGTCTCTCCCAGTCAGTCCTCCCCAGTCCACCTTGTCTCCCTCCCCAACTCCAACCCCTCAGATGACCAGAACCAAAGGCCCTGCACTAGTTACTTGCCTGCTGTTGTGCCTGGCACTGGCTTGAGCTTGCTGAGCCTCAGAGTTCTCCTCTCTGATACAGCATCTTTAAGATCCATGAAAGTATAGTAGTTCTTGAGATTAGCTGGTTTGCTCATCTTTCTGTGACTGGGTATCAAATCACATTAAACAGCCTCTGAGTTCTTGTGGCTGGCTCAGCTGGGCAGTTCTGCTCTCTAATGTGGTTGGAGTCACTCATGTGTTAAATCCAACCTGGAGCTCCACTGGGGCTAGGATGTCCAAGTTGGTGTCTGAGTGTTTGAGCCCTCCCAGAGCTAGCAGAGCTTCTGCAAAGAAGAGCTGCTGAGTTCTAGGAAAACAGCCCTAGGGTGCAAGAGCTTATAAAGCCTCTGATGGCGTCACTGTCACTGAAGTCTCACTGGCTAGAACCAGTCACATGGATGAGCCTAGTGTCAAAGGGAGGATCCTACCCCGGTGCATGGATACTCTCAGTGTGTCTCACTGAGATCCTATACTGTGAGAATGCCCCATTGCCCACCCCCTTGCCGGACAGTATTCTGTGAGGAGGGGGCTGCATTGGTTTAGATCTTTCCATCCAGGCATTTACGCAGTGCCTGGGGGATAACATTCAGTAATATTTGTGGGATAAATAGACCTTATTTTATTTTATTAATAATAAAGCTTACCATATGCAGCTGCTGTGCTGAGCTTTTTATAGATTATCCTATTTAATCATCCAATAAACCCAGAACTTGGAGTTTTTGTTTTCCTGTTTTACTCATGAAGCAGCTAAGGTTCAGAGAGGTGGTATAACTTGTTCCAGGTCATCTAGCCTATAAGTGGTGGTCACAATCTGAACTCACATCTACCTGGTTCCATAGCCTAAGCTCTTAACCCCATAATTGGTGCCTTGCAGGTGGGGAAACTGAGATCTTCAGGCAATGAGTCGGTGGGGTCTGAGCAATGCCTGGGCCTCTCTCATAGGGTGGCTGCAAAGCTGTGGGTGGGATGAAATGCTTTGCTCCTTGTACAGCCTCACATTTAGGGGGAAAGGTGGGCACAGGGTGGTGATGGGGGCAGAACCCTTCTCAGAAGGCCCCAGGCCCTTTACCTTCCCCAGGCCTGAGCTTTCTCACTTTTGTTGCCTGTGGATGGAGCCATGCCCTCCTGCCTTCAGATGATGAGGTACCTCTTGCTTCCACAGACAGTGGGTGAGTCCCTGCTCTACATGCTGGAGAGGTGCCTGGGACCCGCCTTCACACCAGCCACAAGGGCCGCCTGGAGCCAGCTCTACGGGGCTGTGGTGCAAGCCATGAGCCGAGGCTGGGATGGGGAGTAAGAGGCAAACTCTGCCTGTCATCCCTATCTATCTATTTATGTCTGTTTGTCTGTCTGTTGTAGCCTCAGCCCCTTAGGCATCCCTATACTGTGATCCTTATTCCCTTGGTCATCCTGGAGAGGTGATGGGGCAGGGCTCTGTCTCAGTTCCTGGACAACTGCAGAAAGTGACTTTTCCTTCCAGAGGGCTCTGTGGGCTTCCCTCATCCCACAGCTGCACCCTGTCTGTCTCCTTGTGAGGCAGAGCAGAGTTTTGGTGGTGAGGCCCTTCTCAGATGAGCCCCAGCCAAGGTAGGGGTAAAATGACCCAGCTCCCAGAACCTTTCATCTTGCCTGCTCAGACCCCTTGATACTTTCCTACTCAAGCCTGTTTACTTTCCATAAGTGAAGAGACAGAGTAGCCTTCCTGGGGATTCCTGTATCCACAACGGGTGCCCCTGGGTCTTGACTGCTTAGATGCCCCAAGCAGAACTTCCCATGCCCTCATTCAGAATTTCTGGTAGAACCTCCCCAATATTCCTCTGGGGAAATCTAACTGGCCAGCCAAAGTAGAGAGTCTAGAAGGAGGAAGGAGGTGTGACCTCATCCCAGGTAATGCTGAGTCCTGGGGCTCTTCTTGCCTCCTCATCTCATCAGGGCTAAGTCTTATCTTCCCATCTCTTTCTGCTTGCCTACTCATCCCCTCCAGCTACGGGCTCCTAACTCTGTGTTTTATGCCCAAGGTGGACCTGTAAATGGGCAGATGGGTGGGAGAGAATGCAGTGTGAATGCCCTGACCTTACCCCTAGCCACCTACACATCTCTCCCTGTATGTGCTGTGATTGCAAATGCACGAGGAATAAACCTGTTCTGTGCTCCTCTCTGATCCTCCAGAACTGATCTTTCTGTGGGCCTTGACCTGTGCCAGATGAAGCTGCAGAGCACTGAGGCTCAGGGCAGGATGAGAAGATGGGGTTAGCAGGGCCATGGCCCAAGTGGGTGGAGAAGGGAGAGGCATGGGAAAGTGGGAGGCCATGGTGGTGATGGAGCTAGGGGGTCTCCATTCCAGACTGGCTGTGAGGACACCAAATCTAGTTCTTCTTCCTCGGCACACACCTGGACCAGCTTCCCTTGAAACTAGGTGGGACGGGAGACAGTCCTAACAAGTAGACTGTATGGGTGTGGGGGTACTTCCAGGCCTGCCACTCCCATCCCCAGGCTCCTATGTTCCTCATAATCATTTACCAATTTAGTGCAGAGCTCACAGAGACCTTGAGGGCCATGTGCTGAACATGACACTGAGCAGAGCCTTCTCCCTTGGCTGCTGCTTAGAGAAGGTGCCCACTCATCAGCATTACCCATTTTAGAACTTTATTTGAAAAAGACATAACCTTCCCTTCTGCTTGTGCCACCTTATATTTTGGGGTTGGTGAATGTTGTAATTTGAATTTGAATGAGCTCGTGTTTTGAGTGCTTGTTCCCCAGCATATGACAAGTGTTTGGCGGGGAGGGGAAGACCGGGAAACCCTTAGGAAGTAGGGTCTACTTGGTGGAAGTAAGGCACTAGAGAGTGGGCCTTTGAAGATGATCGCCCAGTCCCTTTTCTTTCCTGGTCCCACCATGATGTTAAGAGGTATTACCATATGCCAACTGCCATGAATTCTGTCATGCCCTCCTGCCATGATGTTCTGAGACCCTCCGAAATCATGAGACTAAATAAATCTTTCCTCTCTTAAGGTGTTTCTGTCAAGCATTTTGTGGTACTGATGCAAAAGTAATTAATACAGTCAGATATAACATACAGCACACTAATCCCCCAAGGAAAGCAGTCCATGGGTGCCAGGCGGCGGGTCTCTTTCTCTCTCCGCGGCTGCAGCGGGTGCTGCCAGCTGCAGGCGGGCTCTGCGCCAAGCTGCGGGAGGCTCGAGCTAGCTGCAGGACGCTCCCCCTGTGCCCGTGGGTCATTGGCCACCGGTCCGCGGGGGGCAGGGAGAGCAAAAGCGGGGAGCGCAGAAGTGGTGAATGCTGACGGAAGGCAGCTCTTCCGGAAAGACTGATCACAGGCTGGTCCCAGGCGCAGTGAAACACAGCTCAAGACACAGTGAAAACAGCTCAGCCAAATTCAGTGATACAGCTCCGGTTTATTAGGGGAAAACTAGAGAATTTATAGTGTGGAGGCAGTAGCAAAAGCCTCAGTTGATAGGTGCTCGTAGTATGCTTTATTTACATGTGGCGGTGGGCTTCTATCTTTCAGGCTGTCAGACAGTGCCTGATTATCACATAGAAAAAACCTGGTAGTTTCTATGCCAGAGGTCATGTTTAAGATAAGGCATCTGTGGCGGCACTTCAAGGTGAGCCAGGAAGAGAGCAGGGGGCCCCCTGCTGAAAAGGGGAGTCTCTCCATCAGGCGCAGAGCCCCTCATGGCTATCCGGACATGGAGAAACTGCAACCCTAACAGCAGGGTTCCCCAACACATGGGTCTGGGTGCAGGAGCCCACAGGTTGGTAGCTACAAAGACAGCCTGAGACATGACAGTATTTTCTGTTCAATTCAGATGGCAGGGCCTGGGGACCTGGGGTAGCAGTCAGTGATCAGCAGCCTATTGGGAATGCTGTTCCCACTGCAGCACTGGAAGCATTTTCTCCATCATAGCAGGCTACGTGGAGGCAGGACCTTGTCCCCTGTGTGATGTAACAATAGCAAAGACTCAGTTATCTGTGCTGGCCTAGTGTTCCCAAGTGTTTGATGCCCACTCAGGTGACCAGGGTGACCTGGCTTCATAAAGGTCAAACACTTTCCTCTAACCCATGTCTTGAGCCACCCTGAGTATAGATGATTGAATCTCACAAAAGGCTGCCGTTCCATGTGTTTGTCTGAATGTCTGTTGGGGGCACTAGTTCCTTCTCTTTCTGTTCAAGGTCTCAGTCCTGTAACTCCCAACCCCCATCCCTTCTCATTCTATCCCCATTTCCATCTTACAGTACAACTCCTCCTCCTTCCCTCTCCGCTTCCAATCCTTTTAGTTCCTTAGAAAAACTCTTCAAAAGAGTGGTTTTCCACCTGCTGTCTTCACATCCAAACTTCCTGTAAAAGAATGGGAACCTACTGAAGTCACACTTTGTCCCCACTGTGTCTGTGTGGTGGTCACCAACACTGTCATCTTCTCAAATTCAGGAGTCATATCTTAGCTCTTGCCTTGCTCTTCTGCTTACCAGCACTTGAGTTGATGACTCCTTAATTTTTAATCTTCTTATGGAAAAATGCTGCCAGATGTAAAAATCCAGAGATTGACAGATCCCCATCTGGCATCATGTCAATGCTAGCCCTTCTCTGCTTTCTCTTTGCCAGAGTTCCTAAGCCAGACATTGTGTCCCGTCCCTTGTAAATTCTTCCTCATACATGCCTAGAAACTTGTCACATATAAACGCCTTAATACCCCAGCATCGCCTAATGCACTGTCCAGATTCCAGTTTCACTGATATCAGAGATGTCGTTCTGCTGCTAGTCCATGTTTTGCCGTTGCTTGTGTCTCCCATCTTCCCATCTACACCAGCTCCTCTACCTGTTGTCTTTTCACTGTTTTGTGGAGGAGCCAGGTCATTTGTCCATGACCAGCATTCTCTCCTTGGATGATGCTTCATGGTGTCCTCTCGTTTCTGTCAGGAGTGGTAAACCCTGAGTCTCTCTCCTTCCTCTCTGGGCCCCTCCTGGCTCTCCAGGTCCTCAGTGCAGTTCCTGAAACTCCCAACAGAGTCTCCCTTCCTCCATGTGTTGGCTCAGCCTCTGGGTGTTGTCCTTACCTATGCCCCCTACTTTCTTGGTCTTGGCCATTGTCTTGCTTTAATCCCATTCTGATTGACCCTGAGGTTTAGGTCCCCAGCCCATCTCCAGTATCCAGTCAGTGGTATCTCAAATGACCAGGTGGGACACGAGGTTCATCCCAGGCATGCCCCTTCATAGCCTTCACCTCCTTCATCACTTTGCTGGGTTGTTCTGGCTGAAGATCTGGGAGTCAGTCTTCCTTCTGAATTTCTCTTGAACCCCACATCTCTCCAGGCATGAAGCCTCGGTCCTGTGGGTGGCAGACTTGATTACTTTTCTCCTTATTCTCTGCCCAATCCTGGTTAAGCTACTATATCCCCTCTCCCAGATGCCTCCAACAGTCCCAACTGGGATTTCTGGTTCACTCATCCCTATCTGACTGCAGTGGTCACTTCAGTACATGTGGGAATCGGTAGCCACTGGGGCCAGGAAGGGGGAAGGGGAGCTCCTGTTCGATGCATTCAGAGTTCTCAGATTTATAAGATGAAAAGTTGAGGTGGCTAGGAGTGATGGTTTGTACATTATTATAAATGTAATAGTTCTTAACTACATACTTAACAATGGTTAAGATGGCTAGACATGGTGGCACATGCTTGCAATCCAAGCACTCAAGGGACTGAGATAAGAGGATGGTGAATTTGAAACCAGCCTGGGCTACACAGCCAGACTCAGTCTCAAAACGTGTGTGTATCTTACAATCTGGAAAAACAAAAAACAAAAAACAGGAAAAAAATCCAAAGACAATCAGGTCACTCTCCTCAGAACCCCACGGTTGTGCCCCCTATTACCAGAGGAAAGCCTGATGTCCTGAAGTCCATACAGTGTTGCTACCCTCCCTAGACCTTGCCTTGGCCCTCTCTCTCCTTGCTTGTTCTGCTCTGGTCACTCTGGCCTTCTTACTGCTCCTCAGGTCCTGCAATTGTTCCTGCAGACCCTCTAACTCGCCCTCATCCTGGCTCCTCTAGGGCAGAACAGCTCTCTGGTCTCCAGTCTTTTCCTTCCCTCATCCTGTTCTGTTCTTTCTTCAAAGCACTTATGCCTGTCTGACATCCCATTATGTAACAGATTTGTTTATTACACTTGGAACCTTCTATTGCCTAGGAATGGGCAGGCTGTCATAAAAGCCACTCTGGGCTGTGTTTGGAGAAGAGAGAAGAGGCGATTCCTTAAACAGCTACTGAAAGCGATGAGGTAGTCAGAAGGAGGGACTCTCTGTTGGTCTAGAGAATCATATATTGCAGTCAGGTCAGTATGATAGGAGTTACACCCTTGCTTGGTATCAGTCACTTCTGTCCTGGGCTGAAGAGAGCCAAGGTCTGTAAGAGTGGTACCTGAGGCTGGGGACTCTTTTCCTCTCTGCCTGCTATACTTAGCTGGAGACTTCTGAAAACCAGAGCTGATTGGGTACCACCCCAGAAATTTTGGTTCCTCTAGGAGGCTCCCACTTCTCCCTGCAACGGAGGCTTGGGTGACAGTGCGCTGTAGGTTGTCAAAGCCAAGGAACTGACAGGTATTCAGGAAACAGTTTCCACTAGAAAAAAATGGGGAGCTTGTCTTCTTGAACCCAGGCTCCCCTGAACCCCAAGGCCTTCCACAAAGCAATCTAGAAGCCTGTAGCTGGGCCTCTAGGGAGACAGCTATGGGAGGGTGGCCAGGAGCTGTCTCTGTCTATTCTCTGATTAGCTTCCAGGCAGAGGTTTGCAAGGAACCCTGGGCCCTCCTGCTTCTCCCAGGCTGTTGGTACCCAGCTTGGCACTTGATCAGGCACTACAATGCCTCATGGACACAGCACAGTGGCTGGCATTCTGGGCCCTCCTGGCACCAAGCTTTCCCCTAGTCCCACCCCTAGTCATGTATACCCACCTCGTAGGCCCTCAGTCCTCCTTGCCTGTTGGGTAGTGGGATCCCGCAATGCCACCCTCCTGGCTATTCTACTTCCTTGGGCTATAGCCCTCTCTCCTCAGCTTCTCTTCTGGTCTGTCTTTTTATGTCTATCTGAGCAATATCCCCTGAAAGTGCCATGGAATCAAGGAATGGCCCGAGGCCTGAGAGCCGGAGGCCCCTGGTCCCCAGGAGGAGATCCTTGAGAGGCAGTTGGTAGGACAGGTGTTCATGGGTTGTAGGAGAGACCCCTCTCTTGCAGCAGCCCCAGTCCACCAAATATAGGCAGCAGACCCTGCCCCTCCTGCCCAGGGAAGGGACCTTCTTAACACCCCTCTCCCCTCAAGCAGCCCTGGAAACTTGGAAACTTTTCCTGACTCATGCTGCAGTGGGCTTTGAATCCATGTCCATGGGTAGATCAAGAGCTTAAGGTACAAGGAGATGGTTGTTGCCGATCCCTAGAGGGCGGAGGCCTCTCCCTAACCCACCCATCCTCCACCCCAGTTGAATATGTTCTGATCAGTCATGTGTAGTGCGTGGAGCTCATGTCTTCCTCCTCTGCTTTGGAGACCAGGTGACAGCTAGTACCATCCAGTTGGGAAAAGAAGGCTCAGGTTTCTTAGCCCAGAGACATGCCCCCTGGCAGGGAACACTTTTTTTCTCCTTGCCACAGGTGCAAGAGCCTTTGCTAAGGCCACTTCTTATCCTGCCCAGACTTGTCTGACTGCTCCTCACTCCTCCTTGACAGCCACCATCTCCTTGACCTGCCTGTCCTCTGTACCCTCAGGTACAGACCTGAGCCTTGTCTGTGGTTCTTCCTGGGGGGCCTCCAGCTGAAATCTAGCTGACTTGCTGGTCTACGTCATTTACCTACTCATAGGCCCAGCACTCCAGGGCCCTGCTGCTTCCGTGGCCGCCAAAGTGGCTCTCACCTTCTGTATAGCAGAAAGAGGTGGAGCCATTTCTTGTCTTTCTCATCAACCAGCAGCACTTATCAGGTCTTCCTTTTCCTTCCCTGCTACCCCCATAGTTGGGGCCAGAGAAGGCCTTAGGATAAGGGGATTCCAGAGGGGCATGTTTGGTCCCTGGGGCAAGAGCCATGCAATGAGGCATGTTGTCCCAGCCTGGTGACTTCAGGGGGTTTTCCCATTACAGCTCTGGCTTCTTTCAGGCAGAGAAGGCCCTGCTGGCTCAGAGGCAGAGGCACAGACTGGCAGAAGTTGGGAGGACTTGTTTATTCAAGGCACAGTCATAGCATTGATAACAAGAAGGTTCAGTATTCTGGCACATTCCTTTAGTGGTAGTGGCCATGGGCAGTCCACACCCCTCCAGGGCCCCCAGAGGATGCAATGCTGCTGATAGGCACTTTGCTACCAGAGGCAGCTTAGGGATAGGCAGGCAGGGGTGAGGCTGCTCCAGGCCTGGGGAGGGTCCTTCTGGGAGGCTTTAGGCCACCCTGGGTCTCCTAGGAGGTATCTCCCTCCAGAAGGGATCAAGTGGATAGATTAGGGGTGGGTAGGGTGGGATGTTGATCAGTGAATTGAGACAGTGTGGGCTGAGACAAAGAGAGAGATGCCGAGGAGAGCCTGGATGTGGTCTGTATGTAGAAGAAGATGAAGGAGTCAGTTTCCAGGGATCTTGGGGAAGTCAAGGTCCAGCCAGCTAGACAGCTCCAGGAAAAGCAGAGTGGACTCTGCAACTTGCCCAACATCTGGTTTAGAACCAGGCTGCACTTGACCCAAATTAAGAAGCAGCCCTCTAGCCACCCTGCCCTGTTGTCTATGGAACCTCTTCCATCTGCACCTTCCATGGGATGCAGCAGGAGAAGGCAGGAAGGAAGGATAGGAGGGCTAGCAGCAACAGTCCACAGGGCCGCAGGGATGTGGGGTAGATCCCAGCAAGCAGGGCCCAGAGAAGAGGTCCTGGTCCAGCTTTTGGTTGCACTCCAAATCCCTACATACCAAATACACACTGTGGCAGTTGGGCTGGCTACTCCCCACTATGGGCAGTGCTCAACACTGGGCCTGACCACTCTATGAAAAGTCTCTTTCTCTGGTTAATGAAATCCCAGGGGGAGAGGGCCTTGGGATACTGGGATATATAAGGGTATGGCCGGACATATTCCAAGCAGTTGACTCAAGCTCTCTGGAAAGATCCCCATACCAATGTTTTAGGCCAAGCCCTGGAGTGTGACACTATGTGCCCCTTGAACAATTCTGCCTGGGGTGAGGCTTAGAACTACTGGGACTGGGATGTGGGTAGAGATGGAGTAGTTTCTAGGGGCAGACCTAGGTGATCTGTGTTCAGGGCAGCCATTGTACCTGGGTAGAGACACTGAGGTGGGGTGAGCCTGGACCTTCTTGCAGTGAGTGGGCAACAAGGAGGCACCCAGATATCTGGGGGAGAGGCTTCAGGGGCTCATGAGCCTGCAAACCCCATGCAATTTTGTTTGGGTGATTCAGAGGCCCAGTAGGCCAGGCTTCATAGTAGTCCTGCAGGTGACCTGTCCTAAGAGTCAGAAGTGCCGAGTCACCAGCACTGCAGGGGATTACTCCTTAGTGGAGGCAGCTCTGGGAGAGCAGCTTGCCAACCAGAAGGGTCTTCTCCATGGGGAATGCATCCATCACCCCTACCCTACCCAATCCTGGGAAAGCTGGAGTGATGTCACTGTGGGAAGCATCTGCAGTATCTGAGCCACTGGAGGGTGGTAAAATTACAGGGGTAATTTTAAGTACAGCTTCAGAGAATGGGGAGAGGTCTGCCTTAGGGGAGGGGATGGTCAGTGCCTTTAGTTGGAAGCCTAAGTTCTGGCCCTGAGCTGTCACCAATCTCAGCCAAGCTGGGGCCCAGCCCTCACGTAGGTGGAGCAGGGGATGTTATTAGTGGCTACTTCTAGGTTTGGGAGGTATTTTCATTTGTCTCTTGGCTTAGAGAGGTGTTTCTGATTCCCATGGCCCAGTTTTGGAGAGAAGACCTTGCTCCCTGAATTCTACACCCCTCTCTACACATACCATTAAAGCAACTAGCAAGGATGAACGGTGGTTTCCTTTACCACACGTACAGGGGTCTCTTTAATGAGCCTGAGTGACCATGAACCAGCTATCCTTATGAGTAGAATGCAGGGCCTCTACCCTGCTGTTCCAGGGGCAGAGAAACAGAAAGGGCCTCAATCACTTCTTTCTAAGATTGCTGAACCAGCTACCCCTTGCTCAGGGGTGAGGTTTACAGATGCCTTACAGGGAAACTTGTGATGAGATGGCCACTTGTGCCTTGTTGATGAGGTCTAACACACATACCTTTGCTTCCTTAGACTGCAGTAGAGGACCAGGGGCTGGAGCGGTAGTCCTCAATGGGCAGCTGGAGTGGGAGTGATTGAGCCCCCAGAAAGCCGTCAGTGGGCTTCTTCCTACCTCGTCCCTTACACACAGTTGCTCCAGTTTGATGCCAGCAAGACACCCCAGCAATCAGTCTCTGTGTCGTGAACTTCAGCCTCCGCTCCCAACACATGGTGTTTGTCTCCTCCACCCCATTCCAGGGTCCCTGGGTGTTGCCCATCACCACCCTCCACTCTAGCTGGTCAGCAGGCCTGGGGTCACAGGGTGGCAGATAGCTCCATCAGGAGTTTCTCAAAGTCTGCAGGAGGATCATCTGCCCTTCTGCCTCCCCTGCCAGGCTCTCCCTTGGCTCCTGAATGGAGTCCTGATCAATGGTACTGACTCTGGCCTTCCAGTTCCAACCCTTCCTGGAACTGGGCTGAGTCCAGCTCCCTTGCAAAGCCCCTCAGACCACTCTCTTCTTCTCCCTCTTCTGGCTGGTTGTTCATGGTGCCATAGGTGTGCCGGGCTGGGGAGGAGGCAGGGGTCAGGTTCAGCTCAGGCTCCTGCAGCACAGTGGCAACATACAGCTGCTTGGGACAGAGAGGGGGAAATGGGGCAAGGTCATATCAGGAACAAGGTCCAGAACACACCTTCTTTCCTCATGCCCTATCCCATCACTTCTTGTCTTTCCAAGCCCTGGGTCCACCCTGCCTCCCCCGCAGCCCAGGTCCTCCCCATCCCTCTGCCTAGTTGTTCTTTATCACTCAATGAGTTCCCCAGGTGAAGGTGAACCTGTTTCACTACCTTGGAGTGCTGAGGGCTACTTTAGTAGCCGGTCTCCTGACTCCTCATCCACACTTACCTTCAGAAATGTGTCCCAGGGCTGAAGAGTTGGCTCAGTGGTTAAGAACACTGGGTGCTCTTGCAGAGGACCCAGGTTCGATTCCCAGCACCCACATGGTGGCTATGAACCATCCTTAACTCCAGTTTCAGGGGAATCTGGAGCCCTCTTCTGACCTCTGTGGCACTGCACAACATGTGTACACTCACATACATGCAGGCAATACACTCATATACATAAAATAAAAATAATAAATAAAATATTTTAAAAAAGAAATGTGTCCCACCCATTCTCAGTCCCCATTCAGGATAAGTCAAGGGGAAGATGGCCCGGGGTCCCCCTGAACTGGAGAGACCTTCATTCCTGAGCTAGTGTACTTTCTAAGACAGTGAGAGGTACAGCCATGACTCCCATGGAGTGTGTCAGATTCAGAACTGAGACTGCTAGCGGACATCTGTCACACTAATGACTAGTCTTAGGAATGCCTGGCAAGGCAGGCATGGGAAGTACCAGGGAAAGGGGCAATCTGTCACTTTTTGAAGTGGCTTTCAATCTAACTTCTTACTTTGAAAGTAAGCAGTTAATGGAATAAAGAAAGCTTTCTGTAGGGGTTTATTCCAGTGAAAACAAGCAACCCCAATTGGTGAAGGAACAGTTCTGCAAAAGATCTAGACATATGCCTGGTGCCAGAGCATATACCGTAGGTCTTTTGAGCATAAAGGAGAAAATGGTAGCCAAACAGTAGCAAAACCTAGGCTTCATCCCCTGTGGTCCTTAAATCACCACAGGACCACACAGGATGTTACAGATCTCCAAGGTGAAGCACGGTACTCTCTGGAATTCACTCTAGCCCCTACATTGAACTTGAGCCTCTCAAGCCTCCAGTTATCAGGGAATGGGGGAGAGAGGGGAACCTGCTGGAGGACATCAGGAAGATGAGCCAGAAAAATTCAGAAGGTTGGACATTCTGCAGGACTATTGGCTTGGTCTCTCCAAGTCCTAATCCAGCATAGATAATTGGTTCTTGTTTGGACAAGCTATAAAAGATTGGGAAAATGAGGACTGTTTGAAAACGAGCATTGAAAAGATAATTCATATATGTGGCAACCTACAGATGTTTACCTAAACCATATGTACAATATAATTTCATTTTAGCAAAACCCATATATACATATGTACATATAAGCATAGATGTATGAAAAGGTACACACTCTATAGATATCTGGAAGAATGTACACCAGTGTCTCAGTGATCATCTCTGGGTGGTGGGAATATAAACTTTTTATTTCCTCATTCTTGCTTATCTGTTTTTTTTTTTTATTCCCGTAATTGTCTACCATGTTCATATACCACTGTTGTAAACATAAAAGATTTTTAAAGTTTAAGCCAGGCATGATAGCATGCGCCTGTGTAGTCCTTGCTATTCTGGAAGCTGAGGTGGGAGAATCACTTGAACCTGTAGGTCGAGGTCAGGCTGCCCAAATGGAAACCCTGTCTCAAAAAATAAATACATGCATAAATAATAAATTCTAGTCCTTTTTTTCCCTAAAGCACAGACTTTATAGTCAGATGGACCTGGTTCACATTCTGTTTGGCCAGGCCACATCCTTTGCCCAGCACACTGGGGTCTGAATTAATGGACCTTTGAGGGAGGGAGTGTAGGTTAGTTGGTATTGCCTAGCCTACATGAAGCCGGGGGTTTAATCAGTTCCCAGATATGGCAAAATAATAATGATTAACTTTGGGGGATTAAAACCCCCGACCATGGGAGATTATTAATCCAGAGTGAAAACAGCAGAGCTTCAGGTTCTTAATTTTCAGTAACGCATTGCTGATGGCATAAAGTCACTCCTATTGGAAGGGACCCTGGCAGAGAGAGATGTCACTGCTTTGATTCTTGGTCTGTTCCCTGCCTCCTCTCACAGACAGTTTGTCACTGGTTGTAAGGTCTTTTTCAAGTGAAGGTCTTTTCAAGTAAGGTCTTTTTCAAGTGGGTTCTGACACATCTTGTGTCAGCACATAGACAGGGAGATCTACCTGATGTTGACTCTGACCCAACTTTGCCCATCACTAAAGAAAGCCTCATCTCTGCGGGCCCTGCCTGTGGGCATACTGTATGTCCACCATGTTGAAAACTGTCTTCTGTTTTCCCCACAAGCTCCAGATAGTCTCTTCTGGCCTTTTCCCAGGCTGTTCCTCTTCCTCCAATGCTCTTTCCATACCCTCTTTGACCTGCCAACCTTTCCTCCCATTCCTGCAGTTGTATGATATGATCCCTCATCTGGGAAGTGCCCCAAGTGCCTGGGCCAGATGGCACCTCATCAGAGGCACCTAGCACTGGGGCACACTAGATGCTGTGCCCTATGTGCATGCATAGATAACTGTATGAGCACTTGTGGTAGGGATAAGTTCAAGAGCTCCTGCCATCCAGGTGAGCCACACGGGCATGGGAGCCTCTGCCCAGTCCATTGGTCACAGACTCTGGGTTCAGCCTTGGCTCTTGGCAGGCTGGCGGGTGCATTGATTGGGTGTTGCCCCTGCCTTACCATTCACTGGGTCCGTCAATAGCTCCCTGTAGCTCTGTCTGCACCGCTTTGGCCAGCACCTGTGCCCTGGAGGCAGCCTTGGGTCCTGAGGCCAAGCCCCAGCATGCCCCTGCGACTACTCGATTGAGGCCTCTGAGATCTGGGTCTCCCTGACCGTGTACTTCATCTTTGGCTCTCTCCTCTTTGGGTGACGTATGGTGATTGGCAAGTTAATCCTGGATTTTTTCACCCTGTTCTTCAGCCAGGGCCATGGAAGCATTTGGACCTGGACCAAGTCCTGCTGCATCAGGAGAGGGAGCCCAGGGGCCCCTGGTTCCTCCCCAGTACCCAAGGTAAGTACTAAACACTGGTGTCCCCTGTATCACTGGAGTGGGCCACCCCTGCAGGCCCCACCCTCCTGACTTGTCCCCAGGGTGGAGGCAGAAACTCACAAGGGAGGTGGGTGTGGAGGTCGTGCTGCTTGGCTCCATGTCAAACACAGTCTCCGCCTCCTCCTCAGGCTGCAATGGAGAGAGGGGATGAGTCACAGAATGGGGGCTTCCCTCTGCCTGTGCCCCCTCCCTCTCTTCATCCACACCTAGGCCTCCTGCTTGCCTCCCTGGCATCCTACTCTTTTCTTTCTGAACTTTCAGTCCGGCTGGCAGGGCAGAAGCCCAAGGGGTACGAAGAAAGGATTGGGATACCAGCCACTCCCAAAAGACCATAAAGTGAGAAGTAATCAGAGTTGGAATGGGGTTCATCAATGGGCCTGCTCCAACTGCTGTCATCTCTCTTCCCGGAATGCCACCTCCATTGTCAATCCTACCAAGGTTCTCTGCCACCCTTCTCAAGAGTGACACAAAGAGATCTGTGACATCAAGGTATTAGAACCTGTGTGTGTGTGTGTGTGTGTGTGTGTGTGTGTGTGTGTGTTGGGTGTGTGTTGGGAGTTCATTCTGGTCCTACTCCAGGCCTGGTACTCCAGTCAGCAATGGAGCAGGAAATGAGGCAGAGAGGGTGGTAGGTGCCTGTGCTCAGAGCCCCAGATCCAGATGGACAGCAAGAAGAATGCCTCTAGAAGGCTCCCTCTGCCAACTCAGCAGGTTGCTGTGCTTCAAGTCAACATTCAGAAAAGAAACAGTTCACTGTTATAACACTGTTTGTGTTATAAACATAAAACCAGTGCCAGTTACTGTAAGCGTAACTAGAAAGAAAAGCATGTAACCATGAAAAGCAAAAATTGTGTTTTTGTTCACTGGAAATCATTCCAGGGTCCCAGCACACACACACATACACTTTGGGAAACACTGACACAGATACTCAACATTGCTGGCAGAGCTCTGAGAGGGCATGAACATGCTCCTGTCTCCAGGGCCTAATGATTAGACTGATACCATTGCCAAAAAGCCAGTGGAATCATGGGGGACACTTCTAAACACACAGCCTCCAGTGCTCCATAGCCCGGGATTCTAGAAAGCCTGCCAGAGATCGTCATCAGCTATACTTGGCTCTATTCTCTCTTTCCTTCCCCCTCACCCGGCCCTCCATGCCCTCATCTTCCTCCGGTCCTTGCAATGGTGTTCATAGTGGCTAGACTAGACTCACATGGTAGAAGGGACTGGCCAGCGGCAGCCTGCTGCTTGGAGATATCAGGGGGATGAAAATGAGAGGGCAGTGCCTCCAGGTGGGGGCCAGCCTGAGTTAGTGCAGGCACAGAGCATGCACACATGCCCACTGAGCCTACACACCTCAGTCTGAGGGAAAGGCTCCCACCCATCTTGCCCTGTTGTACTCTGGGTACTTTGGCCAGGGTGTCTCAGAGCCATGTCCCCAGGACCAGGAGAATCAACTTGCATGAAGGGCCGGCTGGAAACTTACCTCATATTCAGTGACAGTCCGAAACTTCCCCAGAAAAATGCCAGAAAAGGCGATTAGTATGGAAATGATAAGGAAAGACAGGGAGGAGAAGGTGATGCTGTGGATGGAACCTGCCGGGAGAAGAGAACACTGTGCAAGGGGAGCTGGAACACCAGCAGGGGAAATGGGGCAGCTGAGGTGCTTGGCAGATGCCTGGTGACCACCTACATCAGCACCTCCGCTGGCGCTTTGAACTTGGCGCAGGGACACCCCTGCCCAACTCCCCTCCAAGAACAACTGGGAATGAATCTGTTCTATTTGACCAGTTTAGAATTTAGCTTATTGTGGAGTCTATGAAAAAACAAACAGATTTTTATAGACTTAAAGTACCCACACCAATACCCATTAGACATGTTCTTGATCTGTCAGCTTTCTGTTTCCATGGTTCCTGAGAAGTACCTTTGAGTTAGCAATTCTGCCACTGCCCCCAAAGAGTCTGTAGTCCTACTTTTTCTCTGCATGCCCAGTCAAAGTGAGCATGCTCAGATACCTGTGCTAACAAAGCAATCCAGAATTCAAAAGTCATTTATGTTACGTATGTGAATATTTGGTGCCTTTAATGCCAGCAGATTTTTAACAAAAAGAATATAGCAAGTTACTCTCCAGCCTTAGGTGACTGCTTAATGAGCCTTACTGCATGACTGCACAGTAGCAAAAACCAGCAAACAACTTCAACAGCCACAGAGGGCTAACAAGCTGTAGCCTTGAATGCAGCTGTCAAAAAGATGTGTTCAAATAGACTGTTAATGACACAGGAAGCTGCTCAGAACATGATGTTCAGAGGAAGACTTGGGGATATAGGGATGAAGGTTATAATGTGGATGGTCATGATGTTACAAGTAATAGTAACCTGGCACTTGCTCTCTTGTTTTTCTCCCTCCCCAAAGCAAATGCCTAGGAGGGGTCTGGGAGCAATAGACATTAGGTTCTGGATAGGATTGTGGCAACAACTTTTGGTCTTTATATTTTTTTCTACTTTTGATAGCAACATGTAGTCCTTTAGAAAAAGGCATGATAAGATATGTGCCAGGTGTCAGGGAAAAGCCTAGTGGGATAAGAAATTGGGATGACGACAGATGAATATGCCATGCAAATAAAAGAGCGTTGAGTGCTTATGAGTGCCACTATGACAGATGGTAAGGAAATATTGCCTCTCCCCTCTTCACCCCACGGGGGATGTGGGGGTGGGGGTCAAATCAATTGTCCCAGGAAGGAAAGGCATTGGGAGTTGGGGGTGACCTAATGATATGGGTGACCCAGATGGGAGGAAGCTGAGGGGTGCCCAAGTCTATGGCCCATGGGAAATTCCATGAAGGTGTCTCTGGGTTCCTTAGGGCCAGGGAAGCGTCTTTGTGTTTCTGAAGAATGAGGTGAGGCTAGCTGCCATTGCAGAATCTAATTCCCCTCCAGGTTCTGGCAGATGCCCAGAGGAAACATCATGGGAATTGAGCCCCAATAGCTAGTATTCTGTCAATCTGTATTTAGAATGAAGGAATATGATATTTCTTACTCAAAGCCAAATCCATATCATTTAGACCCTCCCTTTGCTTCAAAGCTCTGCGAAGGCTAATAAATACCCCACAGACCCAAAGAAATCGATGGCCTTGGTCAAATCCCATGAGCAGCGTCCTGCTCGACCTGGGCTTTTCTCTTCTTCTAGAGCTGGTGTCAAGGGGCTCACAGGGAAGTCGTCAGACAGAAGTGGGACTACAGGGCTGTTGGGGGACCCTGCTGCTAAGGTTGCAGCCCTCCATGTCTGGATAGCTCTAAGAAGCTCAGCGCTATATGGAGGACTCCCTTTCTTGGGGGGGGGGGCTGGGGCTTCCTGCTCTCCGCCTGACCTTATCTGGAAAGTGCCTCCAAGCACAGACGCCTGGCCTTATTTGGAACATGACCTTGGCATAGTTACCTGCAATAAACTGCCCCAAGTTTTTTCTATATGATAATTAGGCATTGCCCTATAGCCAGATGATAGGATCCCCCTACTACATGTAAATAAAGCATACTATGAACACCTATCAGCTGAAACTTTGGCTGCTGCCTCCACCCTATATTTTTCCCTGACCCCCACTGAATAAACGAGCTGTATCACTGAAGCAGTCTCCTGGAAGGTCTCTTCCGTACATGCTCACAGGCTGTCCTGACCCCATTTGTCGCTTCTGCTCCCTTTGTTCTCATGGGTTGGTGACCAACGGCCTACGAGGGGAGGGAGAGACCCACACAGGGCAGGCTGGGTACCTACCTAATCGCAGGATGGAGAAGAAGAGCATCCAGAACAGCCCCAAGAGTGGTGCAAAGATGGCCTGGTAGACTGCAGCCATGTGGATCTGCATGTTCAGTTTGGTGGGTGCATAGGAGTAGTACATATTATAGCGGTCTGTGAGGTGCTTCATGCACAGGTACAGCAGCCCTGGGGGACCAGAAGACAGAGACACAGTCAGTGGCTACTTTAACAGGACAGATCCATGCTGTCCCGTTACCCATAGACATGAGAAGCTAGACTCAGGGTTGTTAGGATAGCAAGAGCCAAGAATGAGCTGAGGCAGACCTGTGAAGCTGCCCTCTGGGGCCAGTGACTTCCCCTAGAACTGATTCTACCAGCTTGATGAAATCATTCATTCATGTGTGCATTCAACCTACCTACAACCCTTATCAGCAGCCACCCAACCTCAGCCCCATAACCTGGCCCTACCCCTGACACCTCCCTGCCATAGGCTGTCCCAGGTCTCTTCATGTTCTAGGAAGTGGCCTGTTGCCCTGGAGTTCAGTTCTTCCTCCCTTCCAGTTGGAGATGACTCACCAAAAGGGACAATGATAGGGCAAGTAATGCTGTATGCCATCACCACACTGAAGACGTTCAACATCCACGCATATTCTCGTCCAAACTGGAAGTCCATGGCTTGGCTCTGAGGCAGAAGGCAGGGGTCACCTGAGGTTGCCCATCCCCCTAGCCTGGACTGCTTCTAGGTCTCCTCTTGGGAGCTGGCAGGCAGCTCAGACCTAGAGGTAGCTTCCCTCCCCACCCTGGAGTCCTTGAAGAAGCCACTCATGCACTCCAGACCTCCACCCTGTTGTCCTAGCAGGACCCCTTTCTTTACTTCCCAAGAGAAGCTGAGGGCTGTGCTCAGAGACAGGCTGACCCTCACCTTTCTAATATGGACTCTTTCTGGCTCTGATCTTGAAAAGAAGAGGCGGGTACTATACATGAAAAGTGACCCCACGCGCATCAGCTCCATGCCTGTGCCAAGCAGAGCTGCTGTGATCACGTAGTTGACGAAGAATGCACCATTGTCTGGCAAGAACACACACCTGGGCAGTGGAGCAGGGTTGGAGGTGGTGGAAGGAGAGACATTTTGGAGAAGAAAGAGAAACAGCAGAGTGGGGACGGAGGAGAGAATAAAGTTCTATAAATAGTCACACCTTGCATAATGGCATTTTTGTCAATGACAGGTTACACATATGGAAGAAGTCCATAGATTACATGCCCCAGTGAAGTTGTACATGTCGGACTTTGTACAAGTGTGTTGTTGTGCAATGTGATTGCCTAGAAGTACAGTTCTCATGCACAAAGATGTGCACACATGCATGTAAACATATATGTATCTTGAACTCAATTTAACAAGGAGTCCTTCTGAACAGACATATGGATGGACTACTTAAAATATGGGTGTAATGTGGACCTTTTTAAAAAAATTTTTTTAATTTATTATTTTAATTTATTTTTTATGTATATGTGTGTGTTGCCTGCATGTAGGTAAGTGCACCCGTGTCATGCAGTGCCCACAGAGGTCAGAAGAGTCTGTTGGATCCCCTGGGTCTGGATTTATGGATAGTTGTTAGCTGCCATGTGGGTGCTGGGATTCGAACCCAGGTCTTCTGCAAGAACAGCCAGTGTTCTTAACCGCTGAGCTGTCTCTCCAGCCCCTAATGTAAGACCTTTTAAGAGGCATGTTCAACCTCCTAACAGACTCTAAATTCTGGGGATCCATTGCCTTCAAGGAAAAAATATTACATCTTTTTTTTTATTCTTTTTTTTTTTTAATGTTCATATGAGAGTCCATTGGAATTTTTTGACAAGGGCTTCCAAAAGCATCCCTCTACTGGGATCCTCCTCATTTTTCTTTTGTCTGCCAAGGCTGGATTCGAGAGTGATGGATTCAGGATTTGCTTTCAAGTGTTTTGGTAGTGAGATAACTGAGGGGTTGCTGAGGTGTATGTATGATCAGAGGGTATGCACACTGGAAAGCCTTTACCCAGCATGGGTCATGCCTTCTCTTCCTAGCCTTCCCCAGATTGTATACTTTTGCCATCCCTAAATCCAGGAGACCATGATTAGGGCCAAATTACATACAGTTGTCTGGGAAGAGTGGCTGGATACTCCAGTGAGGGTCCAATGACCCTGCTGACCCTCCTTTAATGAATGAGCACAACATCAACAAGCCCAATTGTGATGATGTTTAGTGATCAGGCACAGCTGAAGTCGTGATGATGGTAGTTATTTCATGCAGCAGAGACACAGCATCATCGTATTAAAAGGACATGGAATTTAAAAGGATTTGGTGCTAGGGTCCACATATGAGGGAGAACATACGTCGTTTGTTTTTCTGAGTCTGTTACTTCATTTAGAATAACAGTTTCTAGATCCATCCATTTACCTGCAAATTTCATGATTTCATCTTTCTTTACTGCTGAATAGAACTCCATTGTGTAAATATACCACATTGTTGTTAACCACTAATCAGTTGAGAAGCACTTAGGTTGCTTCCATCTCTTAGCTATTGTGAAAAGAGCAGCAACAAACATGGTTGTACAAGTGTCTCTACAATAAGATGAGTCATTTGGGTATATGCCAAGGACTGATATAACCAGGTCATATGGTAGGTTCATTTTTAGTTTTTTAAGAGTTCTCTACACTGTTTTCCATAGGGATTGCACGACTTTGCAATCCCACCAGCAGTGAATGAGCCTTCCCTTTTCTCCATATCCTCGCCAGCATTTGGTATCATTTGTTCTCTTGATCCTAGCCAGTCTGATTGGGGTAAGGTGATACCTTAGGGTGTTTTAATTTGCATTTCCCTAATTACTAATGATGTTGAACACTTTTTGAGATGTTCCTTAGCCATCTTTATTTCTTCCTTTGAGAACTCTCTGGATCTTTAGCCCTTTTAATTGGGTCATTTGGTTTCTTGATTCTTTGTTTTTTGAGTTCTTTATATATTCTGGATGTTAAACCTCTGTCAGATGTGTCACTAGTGAAGATTCTTTTCCCATTCTCTGGGTTTTCTCTTCACTTTTTTTATTGTTTCTTTTGCTGTACAGAAGCTTTTTAGTTTAATGAGGTTCCACTTGTTGATGGCTGACCTTAATTCCAAAGCAATTTCTGATTTAGAAAATCCTTTCCTACACCTATATCCTGTAAGCCACTGCCAATATTTTCTTTTAATAGTTTCATGGTTTCCAGTTTCACATTGAGGTCTTTGATCCAGGAGTTGACTTTTATGCAAGGCGAAAGATAAGGATCTAGTTTCATTCTTCTGCAGGTGGAGATCCAGTTTTGCCAGCACCATTTGTTGA